TGTTAGCCAGGATGGTCTCGATCTCCCGACCTAGTGATTCGCCTGCCTCAGCCTCCCAAAGTGCTGGGATTACAGGCATGAGTCACTGTGCCCGGCCAGAATTTTTTCAAACATTGTCCAGAAGACAAGTTACTTGAGTGAAAGCATATCTCCCCTAACCTTTTGTAGGATGGTATATCTTTTACCCAACCAATGGGCCAGAGTGAGTAGACAGAGCTGTAATGAACACTTAAGAATCGAGACCCAGGCTTGGTGTGGTGGCTCAGGCCCATGGTCCCAGCACTTTAGGAGACTAAGGCAGGCAGGTCACTTGAAGCCAGGGGTTCCAGACCAGCCTGGCCAACATGGCGAAAACCCATCTCTACTAAAAATATAAAAAATTAGCCAGGAGTTGCGGCATGCACCTGTAATCCCAGCTACTTGGGTGGCTGAGACATGAGAATCATTTGAACCTGACAGGTGGAGGTTGCAGTGAGCTGAAGATTGCTCCACTGCACTCCAGCCTGGGCAACAGAGCAAGACTTTCTAGCCTGGGCAAAAGAGCAAGACTCTGCCTCAAAAAAAAGAAGAAGAAAAAAAAAGAAGACTCAGATAAAGGAACACTCAGTTGTACTGGCAGGAGCATAAATGAAACAGGCTTGGCAAAATTTGTCAAAAACCTTAACATATGAGTATGCTTCACCCAGTAATTCCACTTCTAGGAATTTATTCTGAAGAATGGTTGGGCAGAAATGCTGAGATACACGTAACAAGGATGTTTATCATAACATTGTTCACAATAAAAAAGCTGGAAATAATCAGAATACCTAACAACAGGAGACTGACTGAATAAAATCTATCTACATATCCATAGGATACAGTATATGGCCTTTCCATACAGTGGAATAGCATACAGCTTTGAAAATGATGATATGATGGTAAATACATTGATTTGTAAATATGTAGTGATTTTTTGGGTAAAAAAGGGTTATAAGACAGTGTGACCACTCTCCTTTCATACACAAAATGCATTTATATTTGTATAAATATGTACATACTAGGGCTGGGTGCCACAATTCATGCCTGTAATCTCAGCACTTTGAGAGGCCAAGATAGGCGGATCACTTGAAGTTGGGAGTCTGAGACAGTCTGGCCAACAAATCGAGACCCCGTCTCTACTAAAAATATAAAAAATTAGCTGGGCGTGGTGGCACACACCTGTAATCCCAGCTACTTGGGAGGCTGGGGCACGAGAATCTTTTAAACCCAGGAGGCAGAGGTTGCAGTGAGCTGAGACCATGCCACCCACACTCTAGCCTGGGTGACAGAGCAAGACTCTGGTCTCAAAAAAAAAAAAAAAAAAGGCAAAAAAAAAAGTACATATTAATATTTTTATCTCTACACATAAAGGCTAATACAATGCAAACCAAAAAGTTAATAAATATTTATGGAGATCAAGAAAAAGGAGATAAGAAGTGACTTTGCTTTTTGATTATTGATATTTCCTTTATGTTTCTACATGAATCTGTACATTTATAATCTGAGGAAAAACAAAAAGACTCAAAGAGATTGGTGAGTTTAAATAACCACATTAGCAGCATCTTGGGAACTGAGGAAGATGGGGACTAGTATTTCTCAGAAGCACTGATGACCTAATTTGGATTATAAAAGTATTTTTAGCTCCATCAAAGGAAAAGTTCTTTAAAGTGGGGACATATTAAAGAAACAACAACAACAACTCTGCAGCAGGCAAAGCACAATGATACCTGTTCTGATCTGATCTCTTTGGCCCCAAACTGAGCATCTCTCATGCTGTAACTGAGGAAGGTTTCACTTAGCAACTCATACTTCCTTCTCTGTGGGAACTGCGTTTCTCAGGCCTGTTTACTGGTGTAATAACTCTATATCCATACAGTCTGTTCTAGGTCAAAAGGAGCAGAGGTTCTGACAGTGGCAAAAGTGCCATGTGGCATCTAACCAGTGAGAATTAGCAACCATCCATTTCAGAAATGTTATGCTAGTAATTTTTGTATGATGGTTAAGGTGGACTATGCAGCCAGCCACTTAGGATCATCAGTGTAATCTTAGATACATAACCTACCTCATTTACGTTTCCTCATCTGTAGAATGGGAATATTAGGGTTGTTCTGAGGTTAAAATGTGGTAATACTTGTAAAGCACTTAGAATGAGTCTCTGGTACACAATAAGCCCTAATAAACGTGAGTTATTGTTAATACTATTAATAACATTAAGGGAGCAACAATGCCATACTTCCTTAATACCAACAACTTACAATTCCTGTCCTCCACTGAACTGTTCTCCTGATAAAATCTGAAACAAACAGGCTTAATATAACTTTTTAATTTCATTTGACCTCATCAATTTCAAGACTAGAAATATTATGGATTAAATTAACATGATAAAACTAATTTGGATGAACACTTTGAGTTGTTGACTTAGTACTTCTTAAGAAATATAAGTTTGTGGTGAAACCCCATCTCTACTAAAAAATACAAAAATTAGCCAGGCATGGTGGCGGGTGCCTGTAATCCCAGCTACTCGGGAGGCTGAGGCAGGAGAATCGCTTGAACCCAGCAGGTGGAGGTTGCAGTGAGCTGAGATCGCGCCATTGCACTCCAGCCTGGGTGACAGAACAAGACTCAAAAAATAAGAAAAAAAAAATCTCAAAAAATGAGAAAAAAAAAATGTATGTTTCATGAGGCAGGATTAATAGTGCTCTAGACCCCCAGAGTCTAGCATAGTATGGACATAAGAGCACATGGAAGGTGCCCAATATTTCTTGAGTGAACCAAATAAGTAAACACATTTTTTAAAATTATCACATCCAATTCGCCATCTCATCACTAGTTTCTATTCTTTTATTGCACCCCAGTTCCTCACCTCTGGAGTAGTATACCTGAAATTTTAGACACTTTTTAAGAAGCAAAATTTTCAAAGGACACAAGGGTGATTTGGTGGAACCAGAACCAATTCTCCATATTCAACTGTGTATGATCAAATAATATGATTGAGAGGGTCACACTTCAAGTGATATAAAAAGTTTGAGATGCTCCCCTCTATACTTACCCCCTGGCTCTCCCCACAACATCTTTTTTCTCTAGCCAATGTTGTCCTTGTTTATAGAGGCCTCGGTCATCAACCGCATTATTATCTCCTTTGGTCAAAAACTTGATATGCCCATTTTGCCTTAAAAGAGTAGAGGAAACCCAAGTCATCAAATACCTTCATGGCATTTAAAGCACAAAATCTGTTCTTGTTAACCAAAAATGTTTGTGGCATTGGGCTATCTTATCACCATTCTAGTGCTGAAATAATGATTTATGGAGCTATAAGAATGTTAATAGCTGTGTTGTTTATAAACGACTAAAAGCAAACTAAAGATCCAATATTAAGGAGGTCAAATATTATGTAAGCATTAAAATAATAGTATAGACGAATATTTAATGACAAGATTGCACAAATGTTATTAAGTGAAGAATACAAAATAGCATGTTCAGTACAATCTCATTTTTATATTAAAATATATACATATTACCAATTTTCTGGAAACACAAAGAGCAAAGGAACACAATAAACTATCTCACAGGATATAATTGGCAAGATACAGACTATGGGAAGCTACAGAATAACCCAGTTTCTCCAACTAATGACTTGCAAGGAACAAAGAAAGTTCGGGAAGTGACCTACAGATTAAACAACAGCCAGCCAGGCTCAGTGGCTCACGCCTGTAATCCCAGCACTTTGGGAGGCTGAGGCGGGTGGATCACCTGAGGTCAGGAGTTCAAGACCAGCCTGGCCAACATGGTGAAACCCTGTCTCTACTAAAAATACAAAAATTAGCTGGGCATGGTGGTGGGCGCCTGTAGTCCCAGTTACTCGGGAGGCTGAGGCAGGAGAATAGCTTGACCCGGGAGGCGGAGGTTGCAGTGAGCTAAGATCACGCCACTGCACTCAAGCCTGGGCAACAGAGCGAGACTCCATGCCAAACAAAAAAACAAAAAAAACAAGAGACTATAAAGCCACATCAACTAATTGCAGCTGAGGACTTTATCTGGATCCAGAAAGTTATGACACAATTGGGGATTTGAACAAATATCAAAAACTTGATGATACTAAAGAATTGTTTGGCCAGGTGCAGTGGCTCTCTCCTATAATCCTAGCACTCTGAGAGGCCAAGGTGGGTGGATCACTTGAGCCCAGGAATTCAAGACCAACCTGGGCAACATGGCAAAGCAAAAAATACAAAAAAGTTAGCCGAGCATGATGGTGTGGTCCCAGCTGAAGTGAGAGGTTCACCTGAGCCTGGGGAGGCTGAGGCTGCAGTGAGCTGTGATCACATCACTGCACTTTAGCCTTGGAGACAGTGAGACACTGTCTCAAATAACAAATAATAATAACACAGGAGGGGAAAGAGGTGGGAGTAGAGAAGGAGCAGAATTGACTATATATTAATCATCACTGGGACAGTGATGATAGATACACGGGGATTCCTTATACTCTTCTGTGCATGTCAGAAACTCCCCAAATGCAGAAAATAAAAGCAAAAAAAAAAAAAAGGTATTAGACAAGATCTAAAATAATATAGACCAATGTATAAACAGATCAGTGGATCAACAGTGGCTATCTATGGCTTTCTTTAGATTAGCTTTATCTTCTTTTTTCTCCAACAAACATGAGTTACTTTTATATTAGGAAAAAAATGTTAGCTTTAAAAGAAGAAATACTTCAATTCTTCAGATATGCCATGGTTTACAGGAACAGTATTTTGTTTTTTTGTTTTGTTTTGAGACAGAGTCTCACACTATTGCCCAGGCTGGAGTACAATGGCGTGATCTCGGCTCACTGCAACCTCCGCCTCCTGGGTTCAAGCGATTCTCCTGCCTCAGCCTCCCAAGTAGCCAGGATTACAGGTGCCCGCCACCACACCCAGCTAATTTTTTGTATTTTTCGTAGAGACAGAGTTTCACCATGTTGGCCAGGCTGGTCTCAAACTCCTGACCTCGTGATCTGCCCACCTCGGCCTCCCAAAGTGCTGGGATTACTGGCATGAACCACTGTGCCTGGCCAGGAATAGCATTTGCTTGATCAGAAAATTATTAGTTTAATTCTACTAAAGAACCATGAAGTTTCTAGTAATTTTAAAATTTAATTGAAAGCAAAGTATATTTTACAGTTGATAAAGCCTAGCTGAAAATTAATTCAAGTGCATTTGGATTGACCACTGCAGTAGAAAGAAGAAAATTAGCTTCAGGTTTCTATGGGCTAATATTCACTTAGATTCTAAGTCAGAAACTGGCTCACTAGATGTTAAATCTGCAGAGGAAACTAATTTGGGAGGTGTTACAAACACCAAAGATGGTTAAGTGCAAACAGTCACATTAAAAATAAGATTCCAGTTAGAAAAAATGCAAATATAGAGAGAAAAGTAATCTGTAGCTGACAATTCAGTAAGTGAATAAAGGAAAAATTCTGAAGGGTAAAAGAGGACAGGTGCTAGCTGGGGCTCACTGCAAGAGTGAAAGTCAGGAGCAGCAGGAAGGAAAAGTGAATTCAACCCAGAAAACAATACCAACTCCACACATGCAGAAAAGGCAAATCAGATATGAGGAGATAAAACCCAGGAAATGGGGAACTCCCCAGAAAAAGGAAAGGGTGCTAGAGAGATATGGACTACTCCCAAAGACTTGATTTGCTGGCAAAACAAACAAACAAATATATTAACACACCCAATTTCCCCTTCTGGGATGTAATCAGGAGACACTACTATAGCTTTTTTTAAAAAGCATAGATATTCTTCATCTACTTAGTGGTGACACAAATATTCTCTGGTGGCAACCAGCTCTTATTAGACTTATTTTTTATTTTTTTGAGATGGAGTTTCACTCTTGTCACCCAGGCTGGAATGCAACGACGCAATCTTGGGCTCACTGCAACCTCTGCTTCCCGAGCAGTGGGGATTAAAGGCGTGCACCACCACAGCCAGTTAATTTTTATATTATTAGTAGAGACAGGGTTTCACCATGTTGGTCAGGCTGGTCTGGAACTCCTGACCTCAGGTGATCTGCCCTCCTCGGCCTCCCAAAGTGCTGGGATTACAGGCGTGACCCACTGCACCTGATCTTACTAGACATATTAAGTCCTACTCCAGCATTTCACAAGTCATAGGCTCAAAATACTGAGTGAAGGTATATTTACATAGGATTTTTCCCTTGCTGGAACAAGGACCAAATATTTAATATTATCTACTTCTAGGGAGATCAAAGAGTTTAGAATTTAATTCACCCATTGCAATACTGTGAAATTAGGAAGAAGGAAATACCACTTTATAGATGAGAAAAAATAAGACCCCAAAAGCTAAATGGGTACAGAATAATGTATCCATCTGCATGGGAAAAGCAAAGCTAAGGATTAAGTCACCCAATGGTAAAATTTCTCTTTCCAAATACGTAATCACATGCCAGTGTTCAATATCATCCAATTATAATATTTCCTGATATGGTTTGGCTGTGTCCCTACCCAAATTTCATCTTGAACTGGAGTTCCCATAATTACCATGTGTCATGGGAGGGACCCAGCGGGAGGTAATTGAGTCATGGGGGCAGGTCTTTCCCAAGCTGTTCTCGTGATAGTGAATAAGTCTCATGAGATCTGGTGGTTTTATAAATGGGAGTTCCCCTGCACATGCTATCTTGCCTGCCGACATGTAGACATGCCTTTGCTTCTTCTTTGCCTTCTGATTGTGAGGCCTCCCCAGCCATGTGGAACTGTGAGTCCATTAAACCTCTTTCCTTTATAAATTACCCAGTGTCAGGTATGTCTTTATTAGCAGCATGAGAATAGACTAATACACCTCCTATAAGATGAACTTACTAACTACATACATTTTGAATATTATTTGTCCCCATATTTAAGAGCAACATTAATACTATTAAACCAAATGGGGCTGGGTGTGGTGGCTCACGCCTGTAATCCCAGCACTTTGGGAGGCATTGGTGGGTGAATCATTTGAGGTCAGGAGTTCAAGACCAGTCTGGCCAGCATGGTGAAACCCTGCCTCAACTAAAAATACAAAAATTAGCTGGGCATGGTGGCAGGCGCCTGTAGTCCCAGCTACTCAGGAGGCTGAGGCAGGAGAATTGCTTGAACCCAGGAGGCAGATGTTGCAGTGAGCCAAAATCACACCATGCACTCCAGCCTGGGTGAAAGAGCGAGACTCCGTCTAACAAAAAAAAAAAAAACACAAATGGTAACTCTGACCAGGTATTTCAGTCTCCCCAAAAGAAAAAAAAAAAAAAAAATTTTCTGAATATTAATATCTACACAGGCCTGCAAGTTGAAGGAAAAAAAAAAAAAAAAAATAAATCACCAAAAACCCCAGATTATAAGTACCATATTTAAAATCATCAGAATTCTTACACAATTATTTTAAAAATTTAAGGATTTTCCAATTAAAAATTATCTGTCTATGAATCTGCCCAGAAACAGTTTTAAACTGAAGTCTATGACTCATTCAATTTAAAAAAAAAAAAAAAATTTTTGAGATAGAGTCTCACTCTGTTGCCCAGGATAGAATAAAAAAAAAAAAAAAAAAATCACTGCAGCCTCAACCTCCTGGGTTCAAGTGATCCTCCTACCTCAGCCTCCTGAGCAGCTGGGACTACAAGTGCACACCACCGTGCCTGACTAATTTTTTTAAAAAAAAAAAAAAAAACAGGGTTTCACCATCTGGTCTAGATGCCCAGGCTGGTCTAGTAAAAAAAAAAAAAAAAACTCCACCCGCCTCAGCCTCCCAAAGGGCTGGGATTACAGGCAAAAAAAAAAAAAAAAAGGCAAACTCACTCAATTTCAAATAATCATAAATAAAAATGGAGAAAAAAAAAAAAAAAATAAACAAGGCCTGAGCTCAGTTTGATTCTCTCTGATATATTTAAAAAAAAAAAAAAAAAGCTTTGTTCATAACAGGCATTGCTGAGAATGAACAACACAAATCCACTTTGAGAATCTGCAAAACACTATCTGCACTGAATAAACCTCTATAATTCCAAAATAAAAAAAAAAAAAAAATTTTGAGATGGAGTCTCACTCTGTCACTCAGGTTAGAATGCAGTGGCGTGATCTCAACTCACTGCAACCTTAGCCTCCCAGGTTCAAGTGATTCTCCCGCCTAAAAAAAAAAAAAAAATGGGATTACAGGTGCCCACCACCACGCCTGGCTAATTTTTGTAAAAAAAAAAAAAAAAAGTTTCACCATTTTGGCCAGGCAGGTCTTGAACTCCTGACCTCAAAAAAAAAAAAAAAAACAGCCTCCCAAAGTGCTGGGATTACAGGCACAAGCCACCACTCCTGGCCCCCCAAAAATGTCTAAAAATTTAAGTTATTCCTTCTCAGTCAATAATATAATGTCACTTTAAATTATAGTATTTTCACATACATACTGACATCGGATTTTATTTAAAAAAAAAAAAAAAAAAAAAAAATTTATTTCACCAATGAAGAAAGAACTCTTCTAAACTAGAATGTAAAAAAAAAAAAAAAAAACCAATGGTTGACAGTTCCTTCTTCTTTAAGCAGAGGAAAAAAAAAAAAAAAAAAAAATGGTAAAAATAAGATAGTTTTTACAGAGAGCTTTTGCATATTCAAGAACTAAAATCCACCAGGTGCAGTGGCTCATGCCTGTAATCCCAGCACTTTGGGAGGCCAAGGCAGGTGGATCACTTGAGGCCAGGGGTTCGAGACCAGCCTGGCCAACATGGTGAAAAAAAAAAAAAAAAAAAAATACAAAAATGAGCTGGGCATGGTGGCACATGCCTGTAATAAAAAAAAAAAAAAAAGCTGAGGCACGAGAATCGCTTGAGCCCAGGAGGCGGAGGTTGCAAAAAAAAAAAAAAAAACCATTGCATTCCAGCCTGGGTAACAGAGGGAAACTGCCTCAAAAAAAAAAAAAAAAAAAAAAGAACCTAAATCATGCCTACTCTTTCACTTCTCGTCTGTGAAAAAAAAAAAAAAAATCCCTTTTCTTTCATTTCTTTGTTTTCTTTTATGAGACAGGGTAAAAAAAAAAAAAAAAAACACGACTTACTGCAGCCTCAAACTCCTGGACTCACACAATTAAAAAAAAAAAAAAAACCAATTAACTGGGACTACAGGCACATGCCACTACACCCAGCTAAAAAAAAAAAAAAAAATTTATTTATTGAGACGGAGTCTGGCTAATTTTCATATTTTAGTAAAAAAAAAAAAAAAACATGTTAGCCAGGCTGGTTTCAAACTCCTCACCTCAGGTGATTAAAAAAAAAAAAAAAACCAAAGTGCGGGGATTACAGGCGTGAGCTACCGTGCCTGGCCTTTTTTGTTTTGTTTTGTTTTATCAGAGAAGGAATCTCACCATGTTGCCCAGGCTGATCTCAAACTCCTGGGCTCAAGCCATTCTCTCACCTTGGCCTCCCAAAGTACTGGGATTGTAGACATGAGTCACTGTGCCCAACCAGAAGATTATATTTAGGATCTATCTTTATGTCATGGTAAAAAAAAAAAAAAAACAGAGTCACTGACAGGTTGGGAAGTAAAAGGGAACCAGGAAAAAAAAAAAAAAAAAAAAATGAACCAATAAATAATTATTTACAGTTTTCAAAATGTTCACTAAAAAAAAAAAAAAAATGGAAGAGGGCCTAGAGGTTCCTCACTCTTTCATAGTCTTTAGAAAAAAAAAAAAAAAAACCACAAACACTTAAACAAAAGCAGTTAGAAACAAAGATGATAAAAAAAAAAAAAAAAATTCATGAATCTTCAAGACTCGGTGAACTATAGGAATCTCTCTTCCTTCTATCCTAAAAACAACAATTTCTCCCACTCGTATGGGATCTTCAACTCGATTTGTAAAAAAAAAAAAAAAACCTCTATGAAATGCAGGTTCCATGCTGCCACTAGGAGGGAAAGAAAAAAAAAAAAAAAAAAAGAAAGTATGAGATTAAACGTACTTTCCAAATTAGATATTCAAAAAAAAAAAAAAAATCACTTCTGGAGTATACTCAATACTTTAACAACTATATCAACAGAAATGTGTATTGTTCTCAAAATATGGTTTCCTCAGACTAATAAGTTACGACAAAGGATAAAAAAAAAAAAAAAAACCTTCACTGACTAGTTCCATTTCAAGTATTACTATTCAAAGAAGCTTAAATCTTGAAAAGGTCAGTGTTACTAATTCCTTAACCTTTTAAAATTTCAAATGACAAACAGAATATAAAAGAATGAACTTTAAAACAATGCCCTTATTCTCACTTCATCTGAAAACACTAAACATATTCAAATATGCAAATTAGAACTGGATCATCTTCCTCTGCCATTTAAAAAAAAAAAAAAAAAGATGACCTTACAGGTTCAACTCATTTAGAAGGAAAAATGGCTCATCAAGTCAAAGAACTGTCAGCCACAGAGATAATGCTTGTGTTATCAATTTACTTATTTAAAAAAAAAAAAAAAAAAAAAACAAGGAATAAGCAGAGATTTTTGCCTAAGAATTTCAGAAAAAAAAAAAAAAAACAATTCTATGGTAATAAGTAAGACTAACTTCTACAGAGTATCTAAAAAAAAAAAAAAAATTCCATCCTACACCAAGTCCTAAAAAGGTCCTAAGATATTTGCACTAATTTATGAACTCCTTTTTATCTAACAAGAAGTAGCCCATCAGTATTTTTCAGAAAAAAAAAAAAAAAAAAACTATAACAACAGCTTAAGTAACAACAGAAAGACAAGAAATAAAAAAAAAAAAAAAAAAAAGTACAAACTCCAAACACTTTTGTTTAAAGACTCTCATCCCTCTATGTAAAGGGATATAGCAATGGGTCTCAAACTTTGCTGCACATTGGAATGACCTGAGGAAAAAAAAAAAAAAAACGGCCAGGTGCAGTGGCTCACACCTGTAATTTCAGCACTTCGGGAGGTCGAGGTGGGCAGGTCACCTGAGGTCAGGAGTTCGAGACCAGCCTGGCCAACACAAAAAAAAAAAAAAAAAACTAAAAATACAAAAATTAGCTGAGTATGGTGGCGCACACCTGAAAAAAAAAAAAAAAAGGAGGCTGACGCAGGAGAATCACTTAAACCCAGGAGGCGGAGGAAAAAAAAAAAAAAAATTGTGCCATTGTACTCCAGCCTGAGCAATAGAGTGAGACTCTGAAAAAAAAAAAAAAAAAGAAAAAAGAAAGAAGGAGAAGGAGGAGGAGGAGGAGGAAGAAAAAAAAAAAAAAAAAAAGGAGAAGGGAGAAGGAGAAGAGAGAAGGAGGAGAAGGAGGAGAAAAAAAAAAAAAAAAAGAAGGAGAAGAAGGAGAAGGAGAAGGAGAAGGAAAAGGAGGAAAAAAAAAAAAAAAAAAAGGAGGAGAAGGAGAAGGAGAAACTGGGGGCCAGGCACCATGAAAAAAAAAAAAAAAACCAGCACTTGGGAGGTTGAGGTGGGAGGATCACTTGAGATCAGAAAAAAAAAAAAAAAACTCTATAAAAAATAAAAATTATCCAGGTTTGATGGCACACTCCAGCCTGGGCAATGGAGGGAGGCCCTGTTAAATGTTCTTATCACAAAAAAATAGAAAGGGGGGAAACTTTTGAAAGTGATGAATATATTCACTTCCATGATTGTGGTAATGGTTTCACAGGAATATACTTACCTGCAAATTAATCAAGGTGTATACATTAAATATGTACAGCTTTTTGTATGTCAATCATATCTCAATAATTTGGTTAAAAAAGAGTAATCTAAGTACTATTACTTAAAAAAAAAAAAAAAAAAATGTACTATTACTTTGATTCTAGATAATATTAATAATTCAATAAAAAAAAAAAAAAAAGTCCATTATCTCCAGAAAGGATTTGGGCTTACAAAATTAAGCCAAAAAAAAAAAAAAAATATAATGTTTCTTTTCTCTTCTTTTCTTTTTTTTTTTTTTTTTAAAAAAAAAAAAAAAATCTGGTATCCGCTCGTCACCCAGGCTGGAGTGCAATGGAGCGATCTCTGCTCACTGCAACCTCCGCCTCCTAGGTTCAAGCGATTCTCCTGCCTCAGCCTCCTGAGTAGCTGGGACTACAGGCGCCTGCCACTACACCTGGCTAATTTTTGTATTTTTAGTAGAGACAGGGTTTCAACATGCTGGCCTCGAACTCCTGGTCTCAAACTCCTGGCCTCAAGTGATCTGTCTGCCTCAGCCTCCCAAAGTGCTGGGATTACAGGCATGGGCCACCACACCCAGCCTGTAATGTTTCAATTAAACAACCAAGTGGTAATTCTCTAAAAACGAGTTACTAAATTGGGTTTTAAAATCACTAAGAGTGGCTGGGCATGGTGACTCATGCTTATAATCCCAGCATGTTGGGAGGCCAAGGTGGGAGGATTGCTTGAACCGAGGAGATCAAGACCAGACTGGGCAACACAGTGAGATCCTATTTGATATAGTTTGGCTGTGTCCCCACCCAAATCTCATCTTGAATTCCCACGTGTTGTGGGAGGGACCTGGTAGGAGGTAATTGAATCATGGGGCGGGTTTTTCCTGTGCTGTTCTGGTGATAGTGAATAAGTCTCATGAGATCTGATGGTTTTAAAAAGGGGGAGTTCCACTGCAAAAGCTCTCTTCTCTTGTCTGCTGCCATATGAGACGTGCCTTTCACCTTCTGCCATGTCCCCAGTCACGTGGAACTGTAAGTCCATTAAACCTCTTTCTTTTGTAAATTGCCCAGTCTTGGGTATGTCTTTATCAGCAGCATGAAAATGGACTAATACACTGTTTCTACAAAAAAATTAAAAAATTAACCAGGTGTGGTGGAGCAGGCCTGCAGTCCCAGCTGCTCAGGAGGCTAAAATGGAAGGATCCTTTGAGACCGGTAGGTGGAGTCTGCTATGAGTTATGATGGTGCCACTGCACTCTATCCTGGGTAAACAGAACGAGACCCCATCTTTAAAAAAAAAATTCACTAAGAGTATGAGTGCAAAGATAGGGAAGGAAGTAGAGTGGAGAAAAAAAATTCAGTACTATTTGTCACCATAAGAGATGGTATTAATGCCTTCAAAATTCCTGGAGTCTAGTTTAGAAGTGATATTTAAAGGTCAGCAGGAAACTTGGAAATAATTAGTGATTCTTCTATACTGACACTGATAACATGCTACAGAAAAACTCTTTAATTTGTGGAAGTACTATAACATCTAATGAAGTAACAACTAAATATCAGGCCTGGTGTATCACAGTGAGGAATATAAAAAGACAGAACAATTTCAGGAAAATAAAGTACAATGAGACACTTTCTTAACGGATGTGACAAAAAGAAACCTCACATGGTAACCTTTTTGTAGAACGGTCATGAGCCCTTTGGGGTTCTGAATGGAAATGCCTAACAAAGTGAGAATTTCTTTCTAGCTCTCTCTTTTTTTTTTTTTTTGGAGACAGGGTCTCGCTCTGTCGCCCAGGCTGGAGTGCAGTGGTGCAATCACAACTCATTGCAGGCCTCAAGCTCCAGGGCTTAGGCGATCCTCCCACTTCAGCCTCTCGAGTAGCTGAGACTACAGGTGCATGCCACCACACCCGCTAATTTTTGTACTGTTTGTGGAGACAGGGTTTCACCACATTGCACAAGCTAGTCTCAAATTCCTGAGCTCAAGCAATCCGCCTGCCTGAGCCTCCCAAATTGCTGGGATTACAGGCGTAAGCCACCGCGCCCAGTCTGAGAATTTCTTACAATTGAGAAGTAGTGACTAATTTTCTTCCAGGCCCTTTTCTGGAAAACAGTAGTTTCTAAGGGAATGATATACCAGTTATTTCATATCTCAATTTTTCTCCCAAGTAATGCCATGCAATTCCATGCCTTGAAAGGAAAAACTGTTACCTGAGCACCACTACAATTGGACTTTCACTTCCAGTTATTACCATTAACCCCTTCCAGATCATTAGTGCTGATGAGACAATCATTCCGAAATTTAGGACTTGATAATAGAGCTGCAAGAACAAAAGAGAAGACATCAGATCCACCATTATACCCACTTTGGAAAGCAATTGAGAGCGGTAACAATTTGAAAGTTTCAAGCAGTACTATTAGGACAACTACAGTTCTGAGACATTCTTTAATATACTATAATAATTATGCCATCAGCATATCAAAACAGGCCCCCCTTCTTTCGCCAAAGCACCCTGCTCCATTTTGTTTGGTAAAACATCAGTTACATTTATATAACACCCATATTATTTTAAGAACCTTTCACAAAAGTTATTTCATTTGGGCTCCATAATCATTCAGCTTAAATTCAATCATACCCATGCTACTTACCAGCCAACAGTAATCTGTCTCTGCTGCTGAACTCCTCTATTACTTTACTTTTCTTTTTTTTTTTTTGGAGCCTCGCTCTCGCTCTGTCACCCAGGCTGGAGTGCAGTGGTGCCATCTCAGCTTACTGCAACCTCCGTCTCCTGGGTTCAGGAAATTCTCCTGCCTCATCCTCCCGAGTGGCTGGGACTACATGCATGCACCATCACGCCCAGCTAATTTTTTTGTATTTTCAGTAGAAACGGGGTTTCACCATGTTGGTCAGGTTGATTTCGAACTCTTAACCTCAAATGATCTGCCCACCTCCACCTCCTAAAGTGCTGGGATTACAGGCATGAGTCACCACGCCCAGCCCTCTATTACTTTTCTACCATATTTATCCCTTGATAATCATGGGAATAGTCAATGACATTTAACTCTACCTTCTCATTTTACAGTTAAGGAAACTGTCTCATAAAGAGGAGACTTCACCAAGTCCTATAGCTTATCAGTCACATAGTCAAGACTTGAAGGTCAGCTTTCTTACTAAATCTCTAGTACTCCACAAATTCTAAAATTCTGTGACTTGAATAATCGGATAAAACACCAGAAGGCATTTCAGTTTCAAATAAAGAAAATTCAGAACGTATGGAAAAAGGCAAAAAATATTACCAAATCAGATAAGAGAAATAATGTGAGCTAACTGTTTTGGGCCAAGGCTGGAAAAAGCATAGAGAGGATGACCAGACACCAAGGCAAATAGTTCAAAAGGAAAAAGCTGGTACTGGAAAGTACTGGGAGAGATCTGAAAAAGCATATTAAGGTCCAACTATGAAGAAACTTAAACACAGGACTGAACCTGTGGATCTAACAAAACATTAGTAATATAAAGTGAAAAAACAAAAGTTTCAAAAGGTCTTACTCTGTTGCCCAGGCTGGAGTATAGTGGCACAATCACAGCTCACTGCAGCCTCCAACTCCTAGGCTCAAGCAACCCTCCTACCTCAGTCTCCTGAGTAGCCAGATGTGGTAATTTTTGTATGTTTTGTAGGGAAGAGGTTTCGCCATATTGCCCAGGCTGATCTTGAACTTCTGGGCTCAAGCAATCCGCCTACCTCAGCCTCCCAAAGGGCTAGGATTACAGGTGTGAGCCACCATGCCTGGTCACTTTTGATAAGATTTGCTTGTGGACATTCTACACAACTGTCCTAGTCTCTTCAAAAATCCAATGTCATGGAAAAAAAGGTGGAAGACTGTTCTAGATTAAAAAGGACTAAAGAGATATAACAACCAAATATAATGCACAAACTTTGGTTTCTTTGTTGTTTTTTTCTTCCTTCTCATTCAGTTCTAATAATACACAAACTTTGGCTGGATCTTGGTTCAAAAAAAAAAAAAGCGTAAGAAAAAATCTGAACTATAAAAGACATTTTGGGGTGAATTGGGGAAACTCAAAATATGATTTGAATATTAAATGACACTAGGAAATTCATGTTAATTTTCTTTTTTCTCTTTTCTTTTTTTTTTTTGAGACAGGGTCTTGCTCTATCACACAGGCTGCAGTGCAGTGACATGATCTCAGCTCACTGTAACCTCTGCTCCCAAGTTCAAGTGGTTCTCATGCCACAGTCTCCCAAGTAGCTGGGATTACAATGGGCATGCATCATCACACCTGGCTAATTTTTGTATTTCAAGTAGAGACGGGGTTTCACCATGCTGGCCAGACTGGTCTCAAACTCCTGTCTTCAAGCAATCTACCCACCTTGACCTCCCAAAGTGCTGGGACTACAGATGTGAGCCACTGCACCCAGCCTCTAATTTTCTTAAATTATGTGATAAATTATGTGATAATGGTGTTGTGGTTATGTAGAACACTGTCCTTATCATAAGAGATGCATATTAGTAGTAGTTGGCTAGTAGTTGTAGTTAGGGGTGAATTGTCATTATCTGCAATTCATTTTCAACTGATTCAGCAAAAAAAAAATTCTATATGTGCACACACACATAAGTATACATAGAACACATATGGCAAAAATGCTAATAATTGTTGGATCTGTGTGACAGATTACAGGTGTTCCCTGTACTTTCTTTCAATTTTTCTGAAAAATTCCAAAAAATGTGTAGAAAAAAATGGAAGAAGCCAGGTGCAGTGGCTCACGTCTGTAATCCCAGCAATTTGGGAGGCTGAGGTGGGCGGATCACTTGAGGCCAGAAGTAGGAGACCAGCCTGGCTAACATGGCGAAACCCATCTCTACTAAAAACACAAAAATTAGCTGGGTGTGGTGGGACATGCCTGCAATCCCAGCTACTTAAGAGGCTGAGGCACAAGAATTGCTTGAACCCAGAAGGCGGGGGTTGCAGTAAGCTGAGATCGCACCATTGCACTTCAGCCTGGGCAGCTGAGCAAGACTCTGTCTCAAAAAAAAAATAATAATAAAAAGGAAGAAAATAAAATAAATGTTAGTTGTTATATTTGGGGGTGTAATACTAGGCAATTCTTATTTATTTCATTTTGATCATCTACATTTTCTACTTCTTCCCTTTTTAAACCAATTGTAATTTTTATCAAAACACTATACACACATACATACAAGAATATGTAAAAAAAGCAATATCCTAGCCATGGCAGGCCACCATTTTCATCTCTTCTAGCTATTTATTCTGATATTTACCCCAACCATTCTAAAAACTAATTGTTTGTTTACTTTCATACTAGGGTGTTAATGCATGACGTTCAAAATGTACAACGAGGGACTAGGCACAGAGACTCATGCCTGTAATCCCAACACTTTGGGAAGCCGAGGTGGGAGGATCACTTGAGCCTAGGAGTTCGAGACCAGAAAGCAAGACCTTAATCTCTACAAAAAAGTACAAAAAAGGCCGGGCGCAGTGGCTCACGCCTGTAATCCCAGCACTTTTAGAGGCCGAGGTCACTTTTAGAGATCACGAGATCAGGAGTTCAAGACCAGCCTGGTCAACATGGTGAAACCCCATCTCTACTAAAAATACAAAAATTAGCCAGGCGCGGTGGCACGTGCCTGTAATCCCAGTTACTTGGGAGGCTGAGGCAGGAGAATTGCTTGAACTGGGAAGTGGAGGTTGCAGTGAGCCAAGACTGCACCATTGCATTCCAGCCTGGGCGACAGAGCAAGACTTCGCATTAAAAAAAAAAAAAAGAAGAAGAAGAAGGTACAGGAAAACTTAGAACATTAAACAGAGATGTGGATAATTAAAAAAAAAAAAATTCAGAGGCTGGGCTTGGTGGCTTATGCATGTAATCCCAGCACTTTGGGAGGCCAAGGCGAGCAGATCTCTTGAACTCCTGAGGTTAGGAGTTCAAGACTAGCCTGACCAACATGGAAAAACCCCCCATCTCTACTAAAAATACCAAATTAGCTGGGCTTGGTGGCACATGCCTGTAATCCCAGATACTTGGGAGGCTGAGGCAGGAGAATCACTTGAACCTGGGAGAAGGAGGTTGCAGTGGGCCGAGATCCCACCATTGCACTCCAGCCTGGGCAACAAGGGTGAAACTCCATCTCAAAAAAAAAAAAAAAAAAAAAGAAAGAAAGAAAAATTAGCTGGGTGTGGTGGCCCATGCCTGTAGTCCCAGCTCCTTGGAGGCTGAGGCAGGAGAATCACTTGAACCCAGGAGGTAGAGGCTGCAGTGAGCTATGATTGTCCCACTGCATTCTGGCCCAGGTGCCAGAGCAAGACTGTGTCTCAAAAAATAAACACAATTGTGATGAGGAATCCAGCTCTCTTGTACCATTTTCTATTTTCTCCCTACAATTATTGACCTGTTTTTCCTGCATACTTTATAAAAACGTTTCAAGTTTCATATTCTTATAAATGGAAAGTTAATCTCTGAACAGACAGATAAGAAACTGGGGAAGAGGAACCAGGAGTCAAGGTGGAAGGAAAAGATGTTCTGATACACATACTTCACGTTTTTACCGTTTTTAGTATATGCAAGTATCACCTGTTCAAAACTAAACTGTTTAGGTTTATTTTTTTAAGTCCATGCTAATGGCCAGAACACTGTATTTCAAGCATTCCAATGAAGCATGGTGTACTCAATCAATGTGATTAATCAATTTCCACAAAAGGAAATCTGAACATTTTCTCAGAGACACTTAGATATTTGCTATTCTTTTGAGTAATGGAGTGATGTGAGCACATGGGTAATCTGAAACCTACTTTGACACTCACATTTACAGGTAAGGAAACTGAGGCACAGAGAAGCTAAGCGATATGCTCATGGTTGCATATCTACTGGCTGGCAGAGTAGCACTATTAGAACTCTGGCCTCCTAAATTCTACGTTTTCAAGATGGTGGCTTTTTAAAAGACAAAATGGGTCTTTTTATTCTGAAGGCTGAATTGAAGAAGTGGAGTGGGAGATGATAGAAGTAGGAAAACTAGCTTCTAAGATGCAATTATGTCAACCAGAAGATAGTGAGGAATTAAGACTCAATTTTCCAACTTTCTGCACTAAAAATATCACCTACAGTACTGGTTAGGACAATAGATTCTGGGCCCTAATTCAGAACCTCTGAGGAAGGGGTTGTATGATTCTACAATGTATATAGCTCCACAATCCCTTGCTCAAAACCCTTGGGGGTCAGATGTGTTTCAGGATTCAGAATGGGTGTGATTTTGAAAAGGTAATACTTGCATGTACCCTATGTTACAT